TCCCTATATATAGTGGGGAGGCTCATGGGAGCTTCACCCTTGCCCCTGGCGCAGCCCTCCCCCTCTCCAACTCCACCTCCTCCTCGGTAATGCTTGACGAAGCCCTGCCGGAGAACTGCAAGCTCCACCACCACGCCGTCGTGCTGCCGGAGCTCTCCCTCAACTTCTCCTCTCCCCTTGCTGGATCAAGAAGGAGGAGACGTCTCCAGGCTGTACGTGTGTTGAACGCGAAGGCGCCGTCCGTTCGGCGTTAGATCGGATCTTCCGCGATTTGAATCACCGCGAGTACGACTCCCTCATCCGTGTTCTCGTAACGCTTCCGCGTCACGATCTTCAAGGGTATGAAGATGCACTCATCCTCTCCCTCTGTTGTTGCTAGAATCTCCATAGATTGATCTTGGTGATGCGTAGAAAATTTTGAATTTCTGCTACGTTCCCCAACAGAGAGGACGCGACGGCGAGCGGAGGCGACAGCGGCGCGGGGTCAGGGTTCGAGAGAGGGAGAGGAGGAGATGCGACGCGAGAGTGCGGAAGGGAGCGATGGCTAGGCTCTCAGCCCTTGGTATTGGATATTTTCCTAACCACGTGAAATGTCTAAAATACCCTCGGCGGCCACCCAATTTTACATGCGGTGGCACGACCTGGAGGGCGCCGACGAACTGCACTAGCCACACTCGCAGCAACAGACGCTGACCGGCGCGACCCACCAGCGAGGGTCCCCACACGTCAGCGAGGCAGCAAAGTAATTCTGGAGTAAAAAACGAGTAAGGGAAACCGAACGTCACTATTCATTGTAGCAGTATTTCGAGCCTGATCCAGCGGCCGAGGTCTTCGAGGAGAGAGATTGCACGGTCCAGAATGCATCAAGAAACTAATCTGATGGCCAGGAAAGACGAGTGGTGAGGAGGCTGGGTGTGCACCGTCGTGCTTGTTCCTGGATGTGCCCTCGCCGCTGCTCCCTCTTCATTGAGCTCCAGGCACCCATCGCTACCCTCGCCCCCAGCCCATTCCTCGCCTTTGACCACCCTGCCTTTCTCGCCAACCTGGAGCTGCTCAACATGTTTTGCATGAACATTGACTGATCCAATCCACGATGCTCATTTGTGAAGGAAAAAGACAATGGTGCGCAATGGTTATCGGTCGTTGGGAAGAACATATCTTAGAGTAACTCTACCAGCGTCTCCATATTGGCCAAAAACGATGCCATGCTGATGAGTGGGTCCCATGATTATGAGGGTAGCAAATATGAAGACGCAGACTTTGCCACGTCGGTAGCATTGCAAATATGGCGACTCTGCTAGAGTTGCTCTTAGGTCCAACATTTGCGCATCGTGTTATTCACTGCATTAAAGACTACTAGGAAAATAGCCTACCGCAATAACAAAAACTCATTTTTTTGCGGGGAACAACAAACACTCATTGCATTAACCCATAAGTTGTTGCAACATGTCTTTACTATAATTATTTCTTTTCACAACAACTGTAGCAAATCCTGTGCTAACCACAAATTACAACGAGAATTTAATTGTGGTAATAAATTGTGAAATCAGACCATAATATTGCAGACATGGTCTTGGTAAAATTAAACACTGCTAAACTGAGATTGAAATATACTTGCTAGGATATAGACACCCGTGAAGAAATCACTATAACAAAGCATCCGACACTCCAATTACATGTGCAGTAAGCCAGTAACTAACTAAGATAAACACTAATCAATCACCAATACAGTGTTCACTAAAAAAACCATCAATAGATGAGTGTCACCAATTTCATAAAGACTGTAATAAAGCCCTAGCAGACATAAAAATACTCCCTCGGTTTCAGAAAATAAGGTGTGTTGGTTTCCATGCAAGTCAATCATTTGAAAGTTTGACCAAGATAAAAGCACGAGGACACACGGTACTGACAATGGAGTATGTATATTTCAATTTCAATCAAAATCTAAACGTTGCGTCGCGAGCTAGGTCGATCGGCTCGGCTGGGTGAAGAAGAGGTGGGGCGCGACGGGCGGCCGCGGCCGGGCGGCAATTTCCGCCCTCCCCTTGGCGAGGGCGGCCTTCCAGGCGTTGATGTCGGATCTGCTCAGATTGTATTGCGGGAGCTGCAACGCCGATTCCACCGCGTCGAACCGCGCCAGCGCATCTGCTCTAGTCATCATTGCACTGACGAACCCTGAGATAACCTCATCCCGGTGAGCCAACGACGTGTAAGAGGTCTTGGTGTGATCGTCGCCATTGTCACCCTTGGCAGAGTAGCTCTCGGTTTCATAGTTGTCGTCGTCTTCCGCCGCGTCGGAGGAATTCTGGGTGTTTTGGTCGTCGCCCTCCTCCGCGTCGGTGCTCTTGTAAGTCGATCGGCTCCGTTGGGTGAAGAAGAGGTGGGGCGCACTAGGGGGCCGCGACGTTGTTATGGCTGTCAAGCGGCGCTGCTGCGAAGCGACATTGCCATCGGCGTTATCCTCGTCCGACAGTTCATCGTTGCCGTCGTGGTCGCTCTCCGACGAGTCAGAGCTGCCGGTGTCAATGTCGTCGTACTTGACCAACTCTGCCCAGACAGAGCCGTCGGTGTCATCCTCGTCTGAGAGCTCGTCGTCATCGCCGTAGTCGGTCTCCGATGAGTCAGAGCTGCCAGTATCAATATCAATGTCGTCGTACTTGACCAACTCGGTCATGTCGGAGCTCTGATCGGTGTCATCCTCGTCTGAGAGCTCCTCGTCAGAGCTGCCAGTGTCGATGTCGTCGTACTTGACCAGCTTCGCCGCGTCGGAGCTCTGATCCGTGACGATCTTGGCGCAGTGGGCACAGAGGACGCGCTCTGGGTGCACGGTGCCGTCGCCGTCGCCGTCCGGCGCGCCAAGGCTCACCGTGTCAATGTCGTCCTCGGCGTCGGCACCGTGGAACCCGCTGTCGTACCCAACGCTGCCCATGCTTAGGATGCTAGCCGCCAGATCGAAATCGAAGCAATCTCCGTTGGCGCCGAAGACGGCCTTGCTACCTGCGAGGGCCGGGAGGTTGAGGTCGAAGTAATCACCATCGTCGTCGTCGCTCCCCTCCTCGTCTTGGTTCTTGCCGCCGTCAGCCTTGGCACGGCTCTCCGCGGCACGGCTTCGGCGGAGCTGCACCAAGGCAAAGTCCGTCTCGCTGCCCTTGTCGTCCACGGAGCACACGGTCTCGGCGTCGCTGCCGCTCTCGCCGAGAAAGACCCACTCCTCCATGGCCGCCGGCAACTCCCGGTACGTAGTCTGCCTTCGCCTTTGTGTTGGCTGATCGGAATCGAAAGAACTCGTGTGCTGTTGTCGTGCTTCCTCGAGAACAGACGTACGCCGTATGTTTATAGGCAATCGATGCAGGGAACTTGTGTTGGGCTAGGACTAGGCCACGCTGATCCTGCCGTATTACTATCGAGGACCCACACACGGACACGGACACTAACGGGTGAACACGGCGTAAATTTGTATACAAGACACGCATAGTTTATTTATACTCTATCTATAGATGAAGATATCTACACGGAGACAACTTCAAAATCAACCACAAAATCCACAATAATTCTATCATATTTTGTTCAACCTTTTGTGAACTTAAAAGTTTCTGTATTTAGTTAATCGGTTTTGCTAAAGCATATCTACCATTTTGTTCTGTATCTCTCTAGGTCCAAACTTCACAAATTTTCAGAGAGGAGCCAGCCCGAACGCTTTTGATCCAGGAAGCTAAATTCACGAAGTGATCTTGGGCTCCCCGTTTTCCCGAATATGGAGTTCCTCTTATTTACGACCACAATGCCACCGCAAAACAAAATGATTCGACCGCTCTTCCTCACTCGAATAGGTACGCAGCAGGAACACCACGCACATATCTCCCCCTCTCACTCATGTTCTCCCTCCCGAAACTCTCACTACCGTCGTTCCTACTGCCAAGCCCCGCCCAACCTATTGCCAGCCAGATCCTCCCTTCCGCCTATAGATCCGGCCTTCCGAGGCGATTTCCCGCCGGTTCCCGTCCTCACCGCCACCAATCCCGTCGTAAGCAAGGAGCAACAACCTCATGGGAAGGAGCAGCTCACCCCCACGACACTAACGCCCAGAGACACCCTCCCAAGCCAAGACCAGCATCCCGACGACCGAGCCCCCACCTGTCGGGGTTAAATCCAGCAGATCTCGGATAGGAGGTCCCAGCTGGTGATCTTGGCTAGATGGTAACATGAAGAACAAGAGACACGATGTTTACTCAGGTTCAGGCCCTCTCGAAGAGGTAAAACCCTACGTCCTGATTCGGTTGTATTGATTGTGATAGAATACAAAGTACAGGATGATCTATCTCGAGATCATTGTGCATGAATCTAACTTAGACCACATAGTTTATTATACTCTATCTAGATATATCTACATGCAGTTACCTGCAAAATCAACCACAAAATCCATAATAATTCTATCATATTTTATTTAATCTTTTGCCAAACTTAAAAGTCTCTGTATTTTGTTAATAATTGATATTAATAACTTCTACGCAACCATGTCCGTCCAATTTAAATTCCATGCGTCCAATTTAGGAATGGAGTAGGAGGTTTATAACGTTTCATGAGAGAGTAGCTTGCTAGTTTCCTTGGAGTGGGTGCACCAATGGTGATGTTCGCATCTCATTAGGTTTCTTGTATTCAAATTTCTTCCTTCTATAAAATATGGAATGCAATTTGCGTACTCTTGAAAAGAAATCCATGTGTTACTAACGTGTTGCCAAACAATAACATGTATTTTTCACATGGCCATGTATATCACAACAATAGAGAATGAAATACCATCAAGTTTAGCGAACATACGCAATATTCTCCTCCTAAATGGATGAGGGTTAAGAAAATATCTGTAAAATCCCCCCACACAAACAGCCACATGTTGTTTATAAATATATATGTTTTGCATAACAGAATTTCTGCATCGATACAATGCCGCTAACCCCCAGGCCTTCATGCTAATGGGGCCGGAAAAGGGCAATGGTACAAGCTCAGATAAATTTCATGGCCTTCAACAAAGTGATCCGATCCGTCTCATGCAAGAACACTCCCGAGACCTGAACACTTCCAGGGCTAATCAGCCTCGTGACAACAGTTGCTTCCTCGGTAATTCCATGGTCAAGCCGAAAGAGCTGGCCACAGCCCAGAGACAGGATCATGGAGCCGCTTCGTTCCCCGAAGCCTTCGAGGTTAAAGGGTGTGCGCGCGAGGTTATCATAAACCACGAAGCCCGTCTGCCTCAGCATTTCCGCCGCTCCAATAACTAGTTGCCTGTTCCATGTCTCCGCCGAGCCAGAGGTGGCCGGCGACAGCGTCCACATCGATATCCCAATGCTCTCCATGACGAACAAGCTTAGTCGGCCACGCACCGAGGCCAGGAGGAGGTGCTGGTCCACAAGTCTTTCATCGCCCTTGTCATCCATGTAGGGCATCATACTGGAGACGCACCCTGCCGGGAGGTCCATCTTCGTTGCCTGCGCCGCATCGACATCCAGCGCGAGGATCCTCCACTCCGGGTTCATTCGCGAGCCGCTTCGACGGTAGATCCAGTAGATGGTGCGGCCGACGACGGCGGGATCGAGAAAGATCACCCCATTTGTTTGGGGGTGGTGCGGGGGGACGAAGGAGGCCTTGCGGACGACGCCCCATTTGCCGTCCTTGGACGAGAAGATCTGGAACCGCATGCTGTTGTCCGCGAGGAGCAGGTCGAAGGAGCCACCGTCGGCGGAGCTTAGCAAGGCGCGTCGGTACGCCTCGGGCAGGGTGGCTTGGGGTGGGTGGGTGACGTGGCCGGTGAGGGTGTTGACGACGTGCAGGGTGATGCGGCCAAGAGAACGGTAAACGCAGCGGTGGAGGAACAGGCCGTCTCTGGCGACCAGGGGCCTGAGCCACGGGGGGTGGATGGTGGTGGCGTCCAGGCAGGCGAGACGCCGGGTTGCCGGGTCTGGGGCATGGATGATGCGATAGCTGGCGGTGTTGCTTTGGTAGTCGAATTCATGGTACGAGACGGCGAGGAGGAGGGCGGGGTCGAACTTGAAGCGGCCGCCGTCGGCCGCGGCTGCTTGAAGCGCGAGGCGGCGGCCGAAGGCCGGGTCGAGGATGGCGCGGCGGAGGATCCTGCCCGTCGCGGCGCAGCGGACGACGGTCGTGACGTCAGAGCGCAGGACGATCTCGAGCAGCAGGTCGAACGAGAGGGCCTCCCTCGCGGACGACGACGCCGGCGGCTTACGACCACGTCGGCGTCTGGTCGACATGGTCGGCTTCTTCTCTCGTGTCTAGGAAGGTGAGATGGTGGAACTCTGAGCAACCGGCGTCACGGATTACCGGGGGGATAGCTAATCTTCAACCGAACAGCGATTTCTGGCTCAATTGAATGGAAGGCCATCGCCAAAATCGGGCGGTTACAGATGGCAAGAGATCATATCCAACCGGCTGATTCTGTCGCCCGCGGAGCCGTCCGATCACGCGGGCGTAGCCTTCTGATAAGACCGGCGGCTGCATGCAACCTTCCTTGCATGTGCGTCGCCACCACTACCGGCAATACAATACCGTCAATACAATTGCCCTTTTCACTTTCAACACGGTAGCCAAAGACTTGTTGACCTACATGCAACATTGATCGGGTGTCGCTGTTGCAAGCGCGACACACGGGTGCTGCAAGGGTCGACCACCTCTTTCTCCAAGCCGGAACCACAACGGTGCAAGACCGGTCATCATTGTTCTTTTGCTACTACAAAGCCAACTACGTAGACGCTGCTAGGAGAGTAGACGCTGCCGCAAGTCGGTCGTTCGAAGGCTGACCACATGGAGGTTGCAAAGATGTTCATCCTTGTTGCGAGTCGGACGCATATGGAAGCTAGAGAAGCGACGTTACAAGTTTATAGATTTTGCCATCGTATTTATAAATATACCATGCTATATAAGATAAAAATGTCACGTGTCCAGCTTCCTAGCGTACATGGAATTGCATTGATATAGGACATCTCATCGGCGTCTTATGCTACATGTGTATACTGCAATAACAGACAATGAAACATGGAAGATATTATAGTCATCTTTATAGCCAACAAATGCAATCTTCCATGTCCCCATAAATGGAAGATATTATCCGCAGAACTCCCATACTAATTGGCCTTTCAAGTAACATGAGTGAGGCACGTATTACCATGCAAAAAGTAACATGGAATTGTGGAAAATACCATCAGTAGAACATTCTCCACAAAGGCAGCATACCGTGCTTCTACACAACTATCCGACCGGGCCCCAAGCTCGACCACATCTCGGCATTTTGCGTGCCATCCAAAATGGATGGCTCCTGCATCTTGATTGACTCAACACTTGTTAAAACATGCAACACAAAAACCTTTGACCTACCGTTGCGTGTCCAATGTGCATGGCCCATGACAAGGATCGACTCCACCTCTTCATTCTTTATCCTGCTTTTGCTAGGATATGAAGGGAAGTATAAGATAAAAACTGATACACTTACGGACAAAGTCTACCGAAACAGCCTACGAGGGGCTCTAATTCTGTAGAAAGTTGTCCGTGAGTGTAGCATCGTTGATATAAGATACCAACTGTCCGTCACCCCCTTTGAAAACATATGGGAAACCGTGCCGCCCGCAGGGCTGCCGCACACTCCTCACGATCTTCGTTATCCTCACATTGCTCTAGAAAATTTGGGATGTGAGGAATGCCTTCCGTCAGCAATGCCTAACGGTGGCAGATGTAATAAGAAACAGTCTCTCTGATCTCTCTGTATGGTCAAACCGTCTCAGAAAAACCCGAACTTAAAGCTCACGCCGGCTTGTGATGAACCTTTCTTTCCTCTCAATGGCCTTCTGCTTGTGAGATTGCTTTGAAGTATATTCAGGTGGGGATCCTTTCCTCGCTGGTGAAAGTTTTAAATAAAAATATAATAAAATTGGCCACATGTTGACGTAGCAATTTTGTGACGGAACAAGGGGAAAGAAAATGTTGCATAATACGGTAAGAAAGAAGGAAGAAAGCAAAATGGTGCATGCTCAGAAAAATGTCACGGCCTGCAGATAAGAGACTTGATCTATCTCGTGCAAGAAGACGTCCTTGACACGGCCACTTTCCAGGCTGCCGATCCTTTTGACGACGACGGGTGCCTCCTTAATTCCAATGTCGAGGCGGAAGAGCACGCGAGAGCACGCAGACATGATCAATGAGCTGCTTGTTTGCCCGAAACCTTCGAGGTCAAAGGGTGTGTGCGTGAGATCTTTCCTGACATGTAAGAACCCCGCCTGCCTCAAGATCTCGCTCGCTCCGATCACCAGCCGCCGGTTCCATGTCGCCGCCGAGCGAGAGATCAACGTCCACATGGATATCCCAAGGGTCTCCGTGACGAGCAAGCTCAGCTGGCCGCGCACCGAGGCCAGGAGGACGTGCTTCTCGCTGTAATGGCAGCGCAGCATCCTGGAGGCAAAGCCCGGCGGGAGCTCCTTCACGGTTGCCTCCGCCGCGTCGACGTCGAGAGCGAGGTAGTGTTTCCAGCGGCCCTCACGGATGATCCAGTAGACGGTGCGGCCGATGATGGCCGGGCGGGGGCAGGTGCTTATGGGGTGCCCGTGCCAGGCGACGCATGCTTCGCGGACGACGCCCCATTTGCCGTCTTTGGACGAGAAGATCTGGAATCGCATGCTTTCGTCGGCGACGAGCACCTCGAATGAGCCACCGAGGTCGCCGACGCTGAGCAGGACGCGATGGTAGACGTCGGGCACGGTGGCCAGAGGTAGCTCGGTGACCTGGCCCGTGAGCGTGTTGCAGACGTGCAGGTCGACCTCGGGCGAATCGCACCAGCGGAGGAACAGAGCATCTCGGGCGGCCACGGGCTTGAACCACCGATGGGGACGGATGCTGGCGGCGTCCCGGAGGGCGGTACGCCGGTTTGGTTCGCCGGTACGAACGACGCCGTGGGCAGTACTGGTGGTGTCGTCGCTGCTATCGTCGCCGTAGTATTTCAGGTACGAGACGCCGACGAGGAGGGCGGGGTCGAACTCGACGCCGGCCGCTGCTTGAAGCGCGAGGCGGCGGCGGAAGGCCGGGTCGAGGATGGCGCGGCGGAGGGTCCTGCCGGTTGCGGCGCAGCGGACGATGGTTTTCACGTCGGAGCGGGCGACGATCTCGAGCGAGAGATCGACTGAGAGCGTCTCCGTCGCCGACGCCGGTGCCGGCGGCGTGCGAGTGCGACCACGTTGGCGTCTTTTGGTCGACATTGTCAGCACGGCGACTTGAACTGATCAACGATTTTCCCTAAATTTGTCCAGTGCATGGAAGGAAGGAAGACGGTCGCTAAAATCGGGGCGGTTACTGGTTGACCAGATTGCATGCAGACATAAATACTCCTACGGAGTAGTACGGACTGCCGCAACTACCTCTAAAGCCGGCCGGCACGTGCGCAACCAAATCAGGAATCCTAACTTTGCACCATAATACTACTTGCGTTTTTAAAGTGAGAAAACCTGATCACGTGATAGAAGCCGAACACAGGGCTTGTCGGAAATATTAGCACTTTTCTAATTAGATTAATTCATAAGTAAAAAATAAGCATGGCAAATATGGTATGCATCTCATACTGACACCCAAGCATAATAACACGTATAGAGCATAGAAGCAAATCATCTATGAGCAACACATATACGGCTAGCATAAATATGAGTAAACGAGGGATGAACAAATCATACCCTCTGGTTGGCCAGGCCAACGCGGCGGCAGCAGCAGCAGCCTCGGCGTCGTCCGTGGCCTTCTCCTTGGCGGCGGCGGCGGCGGCGGCCATGGTGACGATGCAGGGGAAGTAGTGGAAGCAGAGGCGGACGGAGCTGGGGACGGATCAGGAGCAGTCGCGTCGAGACGCTCCTCAAAAACCTTATTGCCGATCTCCCGGGTAGGATCTCGAACGGCAGGGTTCCGGAGGGCAGGGTTCCGGAGGCACCTGCTCTCCCGACCAACCGTGCACGCGGTCGTCAGGAGGGGATCGCCGGAGGCAGCACAGAGCAAGGAACGCACTCCCGGGAAGGGAGTCGTCATTCCCGGAGAAGGGTCGCACACCCGCGAACGGAGTCGACGAATCCCGGGAACGCAAGCCAGCCCACAGTCCAACGTCTCGGGCAGTGGCCCACCTATTAGCGACTCGTTAATTAATCCCTGATTAGTCGTGACGAGGCGAGGCGGGTGACGGAGGAGGAGTACCACTCCTCTTCCCAAGCTTCCAATGGCAAGTGGTAGAGCAGCCCTTATAAAGGGGTCTCAACTCTCCTCAACTAGCAAGGTGGGACTAAGCTTCCCACCACCTGCCATCTCATACATGGGCCTCAAGATTAATCAGGAATCATTGTTCATATGGGCTTAAAGCCCATCTATGATTCAACAACCCCCCACCAGATCTCGAGCGAGGCACATAAGTTTGTCAACTATTCTGAACAATGTTTGATATATCAGAAACTTCAGTGGAGACTGTTAAGTTGAACTTCCACCTAGAGCAATAGGATTAGACTTCTTCACAACTGAACAATGGACTATGCCTTGAATTGTCAGTCTGGCGTGCAGAAGTTTCGCTTATTATCAGCTGATACGTGGCTGCCGAAGGCTAAACCCCACGGGTGGAGCTTATTAGCCATACTCCGTACCTTCTCATGAGCTTCCTAGAGATTACTCAATCTCATAGACTGTGACAAGCAGTCGGGCTCACATAGGTGTGTTCCTCCAAAGATTGCTCTGTAGGTTAGCATCTTGCTTACACAAGCTTTAGAACACATTAAGACAAAAGTCAGCCTACCTTACAGAATTGAGAGTATTACTGCATCTCCAACCTAGTGGGTTCATTAGGGATACTCTCCTCAGTTGACCGGTGGATTGTTTTCCCAGGTCTAATTCACGGGATCTCGATCACATAGGTTGGGTTACCCCCATGGCAACTTACGTGGGTCTCATACCCATCTCCCTCGATGCATTTTCTATCACAATCCGTGATAGCCCTTTCGTAAAAGAGTCTGCCAGATTCTTAGCCGTCTGGATATAATCCAACGCTATTACTCCAGAGTTTCTTGATTTTCTGACAGATTTTAATCTTTTTCTTATGTGCTTTGTGGATTTCATGTTGTCCTTTGAACTCTTAGCCTTGGCAATCACCGTTTGATTGTCACAGTTCATAAGGACAGCCGACACTGGTTTATCAACCACCGGCAAATCCATCAAAAGCTCTCGAAGCCATTCTGCTTCGACGCATGAT